GGTGTTTAGAAGCATCCGGGGCTCACGTACGGGCACATGGGAATTTGGCGCGGAAATCACTAACTCTGCAACGGGAAAAGCTAGAAAGCTGAAACTTTAAGGGAATTTTCCCTACATATGTACGAGCAAAATCAGGTGTTTGGAAGCATCCGGGGCTCACGTACGGGCACGTACGTGCTTGAGTATAAAGATTGCTTCGTGCAGCTGAAGTAACACCCAGCCTGGTGCGTTCCAGCCTGGGTGTTACTTCAGTGCCAGGTTGAAGCAGAAAAAGGGATGCCCTGATCGAATGTGGCTAAGTTGCGACTTGTTAAACAGTGCTACTAAAGAGTAGTCGTTTAAGGGCTTCTACTCCTTGACAATACCCCAATCTGATAACGAAATAAAGGAGCTGCTTGTAGATAGACTGTTTGTTCCCCGGTGAAAGTGGACCCAGTTGGAAGAATGCCTACGTTGCGTTGAGGTATTGTCAGTCTCTGAAAAAAGGAAATGTGAACCTTAGAACTGGTGGTGACGATTCATCAATTGTTATTTCATCACTGTCTGTCAGCGGCACAAAGTTACCGCCGAGTGTACCTGAAAAAAAAAAGAAAGCAAAAACTAATAACTACGACAAAGAATGAAGCATTTGATGAACTGGGAGGAAGTGAGGAATGCGAGAGGCCTAAGCGAAACGAGAAAATGTTTGCCTGGATGTTTTATTGTGCCACGACTGGACTGCTCCACGTGCACCATTGCTGGGGCGGCAGTATCGGACGTCGACTCGAACATATCCTCATCACCGAATGCATTTCTCGTCCCGTCACCGTCCATACCGCTTCGTGCACCGAACGTTGACAAACGCGTTTTGGGGGGAGGCGGTGGTATCAGGCGGGTTGTTTCACTTTCCTGCAACAAAAACACTCCCAAAGTACGTGAGTAACTGTGTGATTTTCAAATGATAGGTTTCATGTACAGCTGAACGAAGAAACCCTTACATTCAAGCACGTGGAAGGCTTCAAATTAACCCCTTGATCACTTGTTTTGGGCCTGAAACATGCCAAAATCAAGCCAGCCTAGACCTAAGTAATTGGCCAGTAACAGTCCTTATAGCCAGTAATGCCCACAAAATGCTCCAAATATTCGTATTCTTCACAAAAAATAAAACAAAAGTGATCACAACGCAAAACAAATATGTAAGAAAACAAAATGTTTTATGATAATACTACATTAGACAATTATGTATATGTCAAAGTGACAAGAAAACAACTGTTATAATCGGATTTTTGAGGAAGATAAGTTCAAACTAATTCAAAAATCTATTTATAAATGACTAATAATTCCAAAATAGGCAATTGCATGGCGATTTGAATATGTCTTCAAAACTGCTGTATTTTAGCTCCTAAATCGGATTTTGTGATTTGTGCTTTCTATGTTCAAACATGGAAAATATTTCCTTTCTTTTTTTATATTTTCTTACAAAATGTATGTAAGAAAGTAAGTATGTGTCTTGTTTAGTGAACGAATAAATGAAAAAAAAAAAAAAATCTTTGAGGGACGGTGGTGCTCGGAGACAAGTGATAATAACCATCTAAACATAAGATTTTTGATAGTTCCTTCTTTTGAGTACTACTTTGATACAGGCTGGTGGCGTTCTAACTTGTTGACACGCAAAAGTACCGCTAATTTGCCATCGAAATATCGGTGAAGGGATTCGTCTGCTTCATTGCTGGAACCACTGACTTATAGCGTAAGAGAAGTGCCAATTATCAAAATATTACGCTTGTCAACACCTACATAGTAATCCACAGTGAATGGACTTATAAAGGCACACAAATGCGTTAATCTGAACAGCATTCGAGGCCTAAACTGAACAGAGCGGGGATGAGAGTTCATGAATAAAACACAAACAGATTACCAAGTCATTGCACATACAGGCTTGCTCATTTGGGGGATCTAAATGGCACTTCCAGTGTTTTTCATAAGTTATCAAAATTCGATTGTGTTTCTCTCCACGGTGGGCCAGTAACGCCAAACAAACTGCATATGTTAATACATAGAAGATTTCAGGCCTCCGTTCTCTTCCGATCTCCCAGCCAGAAATATTCATTGTTTGTATTTTTAAAATTTCTAAAACACTTAGAAGATAATCAAATTTCTCTTATGAGCCAACTATGAATCATGCTGGCGTGCTTATTGGCCACTATAACTGCTATTTATACATTCAAATTAGGAATGACAAATAATGCAAGCGGCTTACAACATATGAAAAAAAAAGTTATCAATGGTTTAGAGATTTTAGTAGAATTTAAAAAAATAATGTAAAATTGAAGTTAAACAGCCAAAGGGGAATGTTTTGGTTGTATAAGTCGTATGCAGATCCCTGTCGAGCAGAATTAGATATTGATAACCATTGATAACTCTTTATGCGTTTTGTGCTGTGTAACAGCAGTACAAAACGCATATTGTTACGAGGTTGC